GGTCGGCGGCCACGAGATCGGTGTGGTCCTCTTCGCCAAAGATGGCAAAGAAATCGTTGAGCGACATGGTTCGACGCACGTCACCACTCCCAGAGGCATCCGCAGCGGCAGCACCGTCCGTAGCGACGAGCTGCTGGCAAAGTTCAGCCAGCATGGGGTTTGACTCCAAAAGCTGCGTGCGTCGTTGGGTCAGCAGTTCTTGGCGCCGTTGTGCCTCAGCCGCACGGTCACGCTCGACGGTGGACCGCTCTTGACCGTTGCCCACGCCCATGTTCAGCTCTGGGTTCTGCGCGGCGAAGCGCCGCTCCTTCTCCAGTTGCTCATCTTCAAGGGTACGGGTATCGAGTTTGCCATCTCGAATCCCAAGAATCAAGTTCTTAGCCGACTCCAAGAGCTCACGCTGGAGAAAGCGAACCTTGAGGGGCACCGAGTCCACAATCTGGACCTCCAGCAGATGGCGTGGCGACGTGACGGGTGTGACGCGCACATTCTTAATGTCCGACATCAGCACCCGATGCTGTGCCTAGGATGCAAACAGGATAGAAAGGAGAGGGAAGCGCAAGGCGTGAGGCGTGAGGCGTGAGGCGTGAGGCGTGAGGCGCTGCTTCGATTGAGGCCAACAATGCTGAGCAGCTCAGTGGGACGCACCTCGGGCTCCTTGTTGAGATAGTGCCAAAACAAGCGGCGCGTGGTAATGGCCAGGTATCCCTTGCGGCCTCCCACCTGACTCTCAAACGGGCCTTCCAGCTGCACCTCCCCTGAACCCAGCCGAAACCCCGACTTGGCCAGCACCGCCGCCATTTCGACGTTTCGCAGGCACTGGATCAAAAGTGCAAAAAATAAAATGAAAAAGAGTTTTAATTTTGAATTCGAGCTTTGAGAGAGATTTAGTTGAGAGAGAGAGAGAGAGAGAGAGAGAGAGAGAGAGAGAGAGAGAGAGAGAGAGAGAGAGAGACCCGGTAGGGGTGCTCGCTTTGTAAACTTTGTCAGTTGAATTGGTGCGGGCCACGCTTGGCACTGGGGACAGGAGAACCGGGGAACGAACACAACAGGACAACAGGCAGGGAATTGAATCCGTTTCTATTGCGCCGCAAGGACGGTAATCACAAAATCGGCACTAGTGCGCACCTTGGGCATCTACATGATTGTATCGCAAGCAACGGCCGTTAGATACGCAGCTGCGCGATCAATCCCTCAAGCTCATCCCTAAAGCCAAAGGACACATACACACAACAATGGGAAAAGGGAAAAAAAACAACAACTCACCTTGAGAAACTCGTCAGCCATGAGCTGTTCCAAAGCCTCCCGAACTTGCTCAGCGGTGATGGTCAACGTTGAATCCTCGTTCAGATCACGCAACAAGTGGCTGAAGGTGATGGTGGTGATGTGACGCTTGCGAATCAAGTTGACAATGGTCTTGGCCAAGTCCTGCTTCAAATGCCGCCGAGTGCTGCTCTGACCCGTGGTAATCAGGTCCAAATCAATTTGACCTAGCCCATCATTCAAACAGGCGAAATCATGAGATCGTCTCCACGGTCAGTTGATCGGAAACAAAGGCGGCGCTTGTGTGTGCTGCACATGCACACTCGTCACAGTTTGCTTTCTTACCAGTGACGGGGTCCGTAGCAGCCTGTTGCAGAGCCGTGCGCATCAGACGCGCCGACTCGGCCACGTCTTCCGGCTCGACCAATTCACTCAGTCTGCGGCCCAGATTAAGCATACAATTAGAATCAGGGAGAGAGGCATCGAGTGGAGACAGAGGCGTGTCCGTCTCAAGCATGGCACACAACGTACCGCATGCGAGCATGCGCCTCTGATAGGCGAATAAGCGACTCGAGCTGACGAGGCGTTGCCGAAACCGTTTTACGCTACACGTCAAGGTATTCGAACAAGGACCAAACGTGAGTCATTTGATCCAAATGTAAACCGAGCACACACAATGTTGGGCGCGTATTCCACGATAGCCTCCCAACCTGATTGCCTCCTTGACGCATCTCAACGTAGCTACGCACATCCAATGGACACAATGCAAGCGGGCATGAGATGAACCAAAAGCAGAGCAGAATAAGTAGCAAAACAGGGGGCACAAAAGTTCCAATGCACGTCGGTTCGATTCTCACTGTACCTAGTCATCAGGTCTCGGGCTGCGGCGTCAGTCAGTTTTGGCCGAATGCTCTTGCGGGCAAAGGAGATGTACTGCGCCAATTCCTCACGCGTCTGAACAATCATTCAACGGAGAGGGTTTGGGACGGTTGATCAGGGCCAAAGGTACCGAAAAGGAAATCTCAAAGCCATAGGAAAGGGGGGGGGGGGGGGGGCGGAGGGGAAGGCCATAACAACGAGGCT